TCCGCGGGCGGCAGTGGCTCGATCCCCACGCCGCTACCTACACCGACACTCCCACCCGCCCTCGAAGCAAACTGGCGAGCACGCACTGAGGCGCGTAAAAAGATCTTCTGCTCAGTCAACCGTGCTGGAAACGCGCTGTGCGCGTGGCATGACTCGCGTCGCGAGCGTCGCGCGTACCCTCCGCGCAACGCCCCCGCAGGGTACCTCAACTGCGGCTGCACCTATGAAGAGGCGCTGTTTGAAGAGTCGTTGTCGCGCCACAATGTTGGTAGCTACCACCCCGGCGAATCCGTGCGCATGGACCCTGCGCTGAGGAACCCACTTCTGAGGCTCCTCCAGCAACGTTATGGGTATAGAGACGGTGACTTCGACTTTGATGCCGTTTCGCGCACCTGGATCAATGGAGAGGACGCCACTTATTGGGAAGCTGAGCTCGCGTCAGGCGCGGCGGTCGCAAAGAAGAACCGCGGCGAGGGACGTCGCTGAAAAAGATCGGCACCCACTTTTCTTGATTTCCACCTTTTTATCGTGATACTTATATTCTAGCTCTCATAATCCCCCACATCCGTTTGTTGTAGCATCTGCACCATCTCGATATCCTGCATACATGGTCTATAGAGCACTCCTTTCCTCTCTCATTCCTTGCATTTATCCCGTGTATCTGTTAAGCATACTTGTTCGAGATTGTCAGATGCGCGTCGTTTACCCACTGTATCCCTAGTTCTCTCCTTTCCTCGTTAATATCTATGGAGTTTTATCCATAGCCTCCCCCCCCTGCGCTAGCGCGCAACACCATCGCACTCCTGTAGCCTGTCGACGCATAGATAATATTATATGCACTATGTTTTCGACAAGACGGTTGTGCGTTGTCGGGAGTCTGGTGTCTAGCTGGTATGAGGCTGGTCACGATGCGCCGCTCGTCGTGAACCTCATTGCCCGATCGTACGGATCGCGCAGCAAAGGTGGCGTGAACAGGCGTGAACGTGATACAGGGACGAGGATCAAGAGCACAGCTTGGCCGAGCCGCTCTCCGCTATTTCGGTCGGTTGCTATGTGTCCCACCCCAAGCGCCAGGGGCGCAAACATGCCGCCGATACGTCGGGCCAGCGGCCGAGCAGCCTGCAGGACACAGCAATGCGTTTGCTTATGATACGCGCGCCCCACCCATGAGCTACAGGATGCACACAGGCCGCCGCCGCCACACACACTGACGACGTACGCCTCTCCTCTGCACGTCTGGAAACGGGACCAGACCGTCCACCTTCACGTTCCCTAACCGTATACGATCACAGACGGTGTCTGGTATTACTTCGTTCTCCACCGCTCCAAGCCATTCGTCAAACACATTTCTCCGTGGTCAATGTTGTGATCTTCGGATCCGCCCATGATGTCGACGTGCTCGGAGGCAACCGCTCATAAGTTCTCTGTAGACGGAGTCCGACGTTCGTTCGCGGGAGGAAGGTGAGGGGAAAAGGTTCGGAATCAGGTCTACACTGAGTCATCGTTTCGAATGCAGACGTGGTATGTTCCCGCTATGGAATAAAACGGCTGACACACATCCTTCACAGGGACACGAGCGGTGCGATTCATTTATGAATATTTCATTACCTCGCGTGCAGTACTAGTCATGCCATGATGCAGATGGTACCGTGCTCCAATAGGCATCAGCGTGACGCCCGACCCGTATAAGATACATGGCCCATATTATAATGAATAAATCTGATTGTGATGTGCCGCACGCGGGAGGACAGTGGCATATCAATTATGTGGTCCAGACGGTGACATAACGGACCAACAAACTTTGGAAATAGGTGTATTGTTGATGAACTCGGCGAATGCACTCCTTATTGCACTTCCCCAACATCTCAGCGCATTGTGATGACCGGAATCCCAGAGAAAAGATCACTGTGAAGTCCGCAGAAGTCGGTCGCCTTCTGCAAACCATCCACTCTTGCATTTGCTTAGGTGCCTTCCGATCTCCTCACAATTGGCTGTGTAAATCGTGCTGAGCAGATCAGAAAATGGTCACCAACGTTGCATAGCCTCCGAGGCGAGGATCGAGCATTTGGTCGTTCACAAGGGATACCAAATGGCTGTTGAAGCATCTGACGAGGAATGATGCTCCTTCGGCGTATACGCTCGCAATATATCTGATCCCTAGTGGGAGCATCGGCGAGCCTTCTGCGCGGTGAGTGTCTCGACATCTGAAACTCTAATAACTTCGAATGCTTGAAGTCGCCGGTCGCACCCTTACAGTACAAGTCATCAACTTCACTGTCTGCTGGTGGCACACTGCACAATTTCCGTATTTGCGGATAACGTATTCTGTTGATGGCTCGTCACTATGGGCATGATAAAACGCCCAGGATACTATGGTAAGCCTATAATGGCGTCGCTCTCTCCGAGGCCCGTGGATCCGTCGACAATGAATGAATGGCGCGGCGCGCAGTGGATTTACTTTACTCAATTCCGCTAGGTCCCGTAAGTCTGGTCCGCGCTGGAACCTCTCTTCACTTCATAAGGTATCCCCCAGTTCCTCTTGCGTTACACGCCGTAAGCTCAATTGCATAACGATACCTCGCCTCAAGAAGGACACTTACGAGCAGCCAGAGTACGCGTTAAAGAATTAGATGTCACGTACGATGAGTATAATATCACGAACAAGGTTGGATCCGGATGAAAAGGAGAACCTATGATTCTAGCCCATCAAAGAGAATCAGCTCTAGCATTAGTAAGTTGTTCGTCGGTTTCCGCTTCGCAAATAGCTGGCATCTTTGTCAGTATCTCAAAAACGAAGCCCTCATGGACAGACACCCCGGACACAAGTAGCTTGATAGATCATTTCAGCTTCGAGGCATTGATTCACCAGGAGCGGCATCAATGAACCTCCAGGACTGCCGGATTAAATAATTAGTATTGATTTCAAAACTTGAAGCACGAGAGTAGAGCGCATATTACAGGTCGTCGACTTCTCCCTTTTCATCGAAAAGCTGCGCCCTGCCGTTTCCGTATTTCTGGACGAGATATTCTACATATACTCACTCTCCGTCAGCGTATGCCATTTCTGGTATATAAAACAATATGATGGATCCTTGGCATAGAACAGACCTATGATTGCGCCGCTTTCAGCCAAAGTCAGGGAACCGTCCGTGATGATCGGTCACCTGCTGTCCCGAGTGGATAGATTTCCTTCGGCTCTTCTGGTACATGAATATTTTGGGTACGCTGATATCTTTTTGACTCGTAGGGGATCTCAAGCTCTTCATGGGAAGATCAATGGCAGTGGGAGGATATGTCAGTCAAATCCAAATCAAGAAATTTACATACAAGCAACCACAGCCTGAGTACGCGGCACTACTAAGAGCGGGGATCGTTCAGATGATCATTTAGAAACGCGGTCACGTGTTGCATTCTTCAGTGCAACTTGAAAGCCTGACTGAGCTAAGAGCTTGTCCTTCGGGTTGTATACTACTACTGCTGGTGCATTTGGTTCGACTGTCATTGACTTGACCTCTGGAAAGAGGTTTTCGATAGGACCTAATATTTGCAGGATAATGCTTTCTCTACTCATCTTTGCTGCCCTCCATTGGGGCGCCCCGCAGATACAAGCGTTTTCGTGGAGAGGATCGGCGGTACAGGATAGTTATGGGCTTAGTACGCCGAATGCAGAAGGTGAGATCCATACATTTTTTGTCGTCAAAAACCTCTCGAACGCTTTGCAATCATGGAAGTTGCCATGATTATGGAGCATACAGGCATGTTTCATGTTGAACAAAATGTCGAAGTTACGTTAAACCAAAATTTTGTCCTAGAGCTACTCAGACGATACGACAGTCAGCCGGACTGCTTCAGACGCGCGGCGGGGCTTATTCGAACGCGATGCAGCGAGCTGGATATGAACGAGGACGAGAGAGTCAAAGGTGCATCCCAGTCGTTCTCGCCGTACAGGATCAACAGTGACAAGAAGCTTAGCTGCTATCTCTATGACGCTGTGTGAGCTCGGAACTGCACAACACCACTCTCTTCCCCTTGAATGTGTATCATTCTCTGTCGAGTCCAGTTTACCTCCGCACACACAGTCAAACGAACAACGTCGAACCTGCGTCGAGTGGGTCATTTCCTTATTTTAGTCCGATGAATGCCATCGGTACTGATTGCCTTCTGCAGAGCGTTCTCACGAAGTGCACAGCACTGGTCAAGCTACTCAGGGTATCTGCGGGAAGCTGGTGCGTGGTTTTTCAGCGCATATAAGCTCCCATTCAGCACGTTTTTCAGCACAATTATGCTATGCGTTCCGTAGATGGAACGATATAGGTGAGTATTTGTTCACTTTGACGATCTCTTTCTACATATACGGTATCAACCGCTCGAAATCCAACTCTTGGCGATTAGATATGGCTAGGGAGCTCTACAAGAATACAACCATGGAGCAGCTTGCGTTTTTTCAGCTGCTTAAGCGGCGCGAAAGTCATTTAGAAGAAGGTCGCCAGATGTCTGAAGCAGTACTGAAAGTAAGTATTGTTGATATTTAGCACGTATTCGACGCATACATCGTCCCGTTGACACAAATTTATGACTAGAGCTTGTGGGATACTCTAGGGGAGCTTCGCTCCTCAGCTGAAGATATCGATGCTATCCGCAATAAAATCGTTGACATGATGTCAGTTCATATTGATAAGGTACGCTGAGCGGACAATTGATTCCTATTTTCATCTCATACTTGATCTAGAGTATGCATACAGTCAATGATGGAATCATGGACATCTTTAAACGGGGCGAGACCTTCCAAGTGGTCATGTTTTCGAAGGTCAGTTGCTCTACAGAGCACTAGAACCTAACGCAACTGAACCCCGTAAGATCAACTCCGCGGTGGAGACTGCCATTCAAACTGTATGCTATCCACTTCCACCTGATATAACGCACTTATGATGAGGGGACCGCCCAGCAAACTATGTCATTACAAACTCTCATTCCATCTCTGGCCGAGATCATGAGCGCAAGATTAAACCATGTTCTCGATGATGTGGCAGAGCGGCAGAGAAGTATTTCCGACATCGCTGTGAATGAATACGGCCCTTTCCCTCAAGAGCGGTTGATTTACGGATCTTTCTTAGGACATTGCCCATACTCGCTTGATGTCAATTGGGCGCGAGCTCGGGATTGCTCAGCAGGCAAGTCAAGCCGCCATGCCGGTTCCAACCTACTTACGTGTTCGTTAGTCAATCGTACAGCTTGAGTCCACAGTGTCGCGCGCTTCCGTCCAACTCGAGAAGCAGACCGAACAGGCGGAAGTTGCTCATTTCTTGCAGCTCGAGGCCGCCCGCTCTGCGGCCGAGTTGGCGGAGACGCTGGCTGACTTGACTTCGTTGACGCAGCTTGAGATGCAGAATATCACTCACACAGCAGCTACATTTCAAGAACAACTGCGCGCGCCAAGTCCAGGAGATCTAGAGTATTATTGGTCGTCGTGGTGGAAGCCGAGCGTATTTTATCTATTCCAGGTTGTCTTGCAAGGTAAGCCACAATTTTGCGCATGGTCTCTGGCTCAAAACTCGGCGATTTATTGAAAGTCGATCCGACGTACCTGGATGCCTTCGTGCAATTGCGCATTGTGCGCATATTAGTCTTGTTCGTCAGGATTATTTGGTGGATTATGCACAGTAGCGTGTCGCTCATTATGGTGAGTGACCTGAACTACGGCAATTTTGATTCTTGAGAACATGCCTTTGGCCCTGATAGAGCATCGCAATTATTTTGATATCAATAGAACGACGCGTGCGTGGGATGTATAACTCCCCCAAGCAAGGCACGAGGTGCGTCGCCTTGCTTTGGTGTGAAAACTGATCTCCAAACAATACGCAGTGCCCCTAGCAGTGCTGAGATAATTCCCATACAGACGCTCGTTTCAGGACCATCCCGACCCTGTGCACCTCCAAGGACCAGGACAGCCGGATTTTTTATGGATGGCTATACTTCCTCTTCACCCCTCTCTAAATTTGGCAGATACGGACATCGGGCGTCGCGGATCCCCGATAGGCTATGCAATACGGCCCAAGATTCAGACTCGCGGCTCTGAGCGTTAGGGGTTCCTAGGTTGGCTCTGTCTATGTCTGGCCGCTAATGCTTTCCTCTCTGTGCTTGTTTCCTCTCCGTGCTTGTTGTCTGCTGGTGACTTATTCTTCACTGCCGCGGCGGCATTTCTTGCGGAGATTTTCGATTCTCATGCCATCATCAAGTATATTATTGAGTACTTATGGTACTATAGTGACGACAGGAGCATGTAGAGACTAAAACCTAATGACTTACATCCACACATAATGCACGATGCCTTGGACTGTTCGCGACTCGGACTCTGATATGACATGGATCATCTTTTGCTCGATTTGTGTTTGACAAATTAGGCACCCCGATACAAACCATAACACATGCTGTAAGCTGTCAAGAAACGTGTGGACATTGCGAACTCAAATTGAGCAAGAGTTGAGTTTCAAGTTTCCAGTTGAGGGCGGGGAATCTAGATCACGACAATGCGTACGTAATGCAACGTTGTGGCTTGTGTGCGGCCATTCAAATGCTTAGGCGGGCTCGTCGCGACTGACAGTTCTCTTTCTGCTCCATTTGACTTACCCACCGGTCTTACAACGTGCCAGAGGTGATACCATCATATATACCGCCCTCAGTTCTTGTGGAACCACTTTTGAGTTCAAACCTCACTTCAGGAGCCAGAATCGACATCAGGCGGCCAGAAATTACCAAAGCGGACACCTTCCGAACAGACTCTGGCGAGACCGAGAGTGTCTTATGGACATAAACTGTGATTCCTAAACCGTATTATCGGTAAGTTGCGCCTTAATCTTGGAGCAACAACTTAAACCTAAAGTCTTGCTCTTCTAAGGCAGCGCCCACCTTCCTCTTCACACAGTGCACTCACTGCCCCGAAGACATGGCTGGAGTCACCATGCAAACTTCCATCTGCGAGAATAGTATGATGTTTGGGGATAGAATGAACCAGGATATTCAGGTGAGTCCTGCATCGTTTGCTTCTCAGCGTCACGGAGCTCCTTACAACTCGCTGCTCTATCCGCACTATTGCTTCAACACCAAAGATATGGCCTGGTCGCCTAGGCATGGGTGATGCTTGTCCGAGAGAAGAGTTGTCCCGTCGTCGGTATCCGCTATTCAATGATCACAACTTGTTTCGCCCTGCTGTTCGTCCTCAAGACGAAGGACCGATTAATGGTTTGAGGGAAATCAATAGTCATAATGGGGTCGTCCAATGCGATGCAATGTCAAGACATACAGAACGAGAATTTCCTCTCAACGCTCCAAATTCAACATATTCAGCTCCCCTACGTTTTCGTTCTTCAGTATGCGGCCATCCTCAAAGCGCTGTATCCTACATCCCGAACGCTGCCGCAGCCGATGCTTCTCCAGGGGCGCGTAAATTTCATACAGGATACCCCACGCAAAAGGTATGTCGGCCGCGCGAAATACCGTCAACGCGCTCATGCGCATGCATCGCCACAGGGACATATACACGAAGTATGTAATAACTATTTACAAGGTAGATGTCCATATGGCAGCCGCTGCTGTCGTATCCACCCACCTCCAGAGGGGGTGCCTTCGGCCATATCGCACAATGCCGCACCTCGTTCACTGGTCAGTCCGATGTCTCCGGATCACAAGCATCAAGACCCGCCGATCCATCCTAACGCCCTACCTTACCCGCTCCGTCACCATAGCGTTCCTCAAAAGCCAGTAGAAGCTATTGTGTCGCAAGAAATTCCGCGTAGTCGAATTGGGCACTTCCCAGAGGTACCCGTCCATGGAGTGAACGTGAGCCACTTGTATTAGCTAATTAGTATTGATCCTGATGTCGACTTTTGATTTACCACTTACTCAAGATGCCGCGCCAATGGGAAACGCGACAGCATCGGAATTGGCATAGTAGTGATAGGTTCTCGGTGTCCGCAGAGCCGGTGGGGACCTGCACATTTGCCTCTCGCACCGAAGTTGACTATGGTGGTGCGCCGCCTCGTGGTGCGAGTATTGATTTTCATGGCCATCCTCGAATGGACAAGGTTTGTGTATTATTGTGAGTGAAAGATCATTTCTTTGACTTGTTCGCCTTTATAATAGAACACCGATCTCTGCCTCAATTTCCTCATGGGACATTGCCTCAAGGGAGACACGTGCTGCTTCAGACATATTCCTCCTACTGCAAATTCTGGGCGGCCCGAATATCCACCAACGCAGTGGTCATCTACTCAGATGAATATGATCGCAGCGAGTTCAGTTCGTCGAGAGATGGTACACGCACCCTCATCACAATCTACACTCGACACTTCGGTATCTGTGCTTACGCCCCAGATTTATCCATCGACCGTTTCGACACTCGGCGTTGTTCCCTCTCTCAATCCAGACGCCAGTCTTTTGCAGCGCGTGCCCAGTTGTACAGCCGTGTCTCCGCCGCCACTGCCCATCGCTCCAAAGTCGAGACCCTGCCTCGAGGATACTACTTTACCGCAACCAGTTACCAGTCGCGCGGCTATGTCTCCACCACCATCACCCGTTGTTTCAACGTCAATCTCTTGCCTCAAAGATACCACTTTAGTACAGCTAGTGCCTAGTCGCACAGCTATATCCCCGCCACTCATGACTTCCGTGCCCGTCCCTCCTTCCGCAGAGAGCAAGTCACCGCAACGAGTACCCAGCCGCACAGATATTCCTCCGCCGATAATATCGACGCCGATCCTTCCCGCGCATCCTTCAGGAGAGTCAAATTCCCCTAAGCCAGTGCCTAGTCGCTCAAATCCGACTACTTCATCCACGAATTTCACGTCAACTCATTCCGTATGTTCACCGGAAAAGAGTACCTCGAAAAGAGTGCCTAATCGCTCAGCTGCAACTTCCCCATCAACTAATTCGACGCCGGCTCTCCCCGTATCTTCAGTAGAGAAGAGTCCTCGAGAGCGAAGTCCCCGTCCCGCTGGCATGTCATCACCGGCTGAGTCGACGCCTGTTCTATCGGTGCGCTCTGCAAAAGAAATTCAATCCCGACAAACGCGCAAAGGAACAACCAGAATGCGTTTGCCAGATGATTTGACGCCACAATCACGCGTGCACTCTACGGAAGGCCGCGCTTCCCATCAAAGTGACCTTAGCTGCACAACCAAGGTCCCCTCAATCCCACCCGCGCTATCAGCAGCAGATGTATGCTTTAGATAATGCTCTGTCTATGTGGCCTATACTTAACGAGATTTATCTAGGCTTCGCCAATTCGTGTGGAACAGCAATTAGAGTCAGGTATGATATTGTCAGACAAGGCACGCTATTTCATGTGTTCTTTTCACGAAGTTAAGCGCAACTCAACTTGTGCCTACAGAGCGACAAGCCTGCTCATGTCATCAAGCAAGAAGTTTGCAAAAAATATCTTAGGGGGTGGTGTAGGCATGGTGAACGCTGCTCTCGCCAACATCCTCCACGGACGAAGACGATCAAAACCAATGCTAGTTCCATCGCTGACTCGTCTTTCCAATCAGTAACACCTGGCGCTGCACCTGCCTCGCAACCAGTGGCACTTCTTGCAGCCAACGAAAAAGTTAAGTCATTGAGCCCTAATGATTCTCCATTGGGTACAGATAGCCAGTCCTCCTCAAATTCCCAGGCCGCAGAGCTTAAAGAGGACGAGCAGAACGGGATTGAAAGGTCGTTGAGCAATCTATTCGATGTAATTATGCAACAGGAAGACTCAAACATGTTTGTTGTGCGCATCCCTAGATCGTCCAAAGGGCACAGTCAGAGTAAAAAGAAGCGGAATGTGAGTGGCTCATCTGTCATGGTCTATATTGAGTAGCTTACTGGTCTGGCTTAGAAACCAAAGAAGCCGGATGTCGACGATAGTTCTCCCGCGAAGACCAATACAAGTGTTGCCGTAAAACCCGACGTTAGCACTGGGCAGGGCCCTAGTCTGCCTCAGGCTGGACTACCCAGTGTCAGCATACCGAACTCCAAACGTCCATCTCGGCCGGCCACCATTCGCACGAGTCCCGTGGGTTCACGGCAGTCACAAAACAAACAGCGAGCCTCTCGTACGACAGATGATTCCCTGTCCGACGAGACGGAGCCGGCTTCTGTGAGTCGGGGCCGGCGCATACGTAAGCGCGGTAACTGATACTTGAATATAGTCCCCGTGCACCCCCCGCGCAAATCTATTGTCCTCGGACTCATCCTTCGACATGCCGGCCACGCCAGTAGACCAGCCGCCACCAATCTGCCGGGACTACAAACGTGGTTACTGTCATTATCGGCACTGCAAATACTTGCACGAGGAAGACGCTGCCAAACATTCCAAAGCTGAAAGTCGCGCTATTAAGATGGTGGATGCGAAGACCAATCCAGGGCAACCTACTGTCGAGAATCGCGATGTAAGTTGTTATCATGTCAGGAAGCGTATTCGCTCACGACAGTATCGTTGCTCTCGTTGTCATACGCTGCACTGGATTATGCAGACGTCGGGTACATTAGCATCTAAACAATCTGTATGTTCTTCGGCAACTTCAGGTGACGCACCTCGCGGTATCCGCGACAGATACGAACATGTCCGCTCACGAACTGTATCTGTCGGCGAAGACCTGACGACCGATGCTCCTCTGGTTCCTCCAGGGCTTGGTCTAGAAGCCGTGAGTATTTGTACCTGATAAAAGGCTTAGTACGACTCACTTGCTATCTACTTTTCAGAAGATGCTTGAAGGGGACATGCCAACATTGCACAAAACCCCTCCAGAGACCATAACATTAAGAGTACTCGATGCGACGAAAGTGACATTCGGATCCGGTCTGGAGGTTAAAGATGTCGTCACAGGCTTTGAGACCCGTCAAATCATCCTCAAAAACCTTCCCAGCGGCGTGACCTCGTCAGACGTCACTACCGTTTTGCAGTCTTTCGGTGAGGTTGTCACTGTCACGTTTCCAGAGTCCAATCACAAGAAAGATGCAATAAAAATTGCCCGTGTCACCTTCGCCAAGCATGACGATGCATCAAACGCTGCCTACGCTCTTGATGGCAGCTGTCTTTTTGATTCGACGATTAGTGCTAAACTAGTAACTTCAGCATCGTCATTGGTTGGGAAAGGCTCTCTCGAAGATGGGACTGTTCTTCTTGAATTTCCATCGCCGCACAGGACCGGTTACGCAGGTTATGCAACCATGGAATTAGCGGAACAGGCACTCGCAAGAGCAAATAGCACCGAATTACGAGGTAGCTGGGTAACTGCAGCATATTATGAAGGATTACCAAACGTGGGTTCCTTCAACGTGCGATTCCAAGGACTGCCTGCAGACGCCCAGACAAAGGATATCGAGCGGTATGGAGAAAGCGAAGGCATCATGCTGGAGCGGGCGACCTATCAAAATCTCCCAGCCGCGTGTCGCCATCTTCGCGAGGTCATGACAAATTACGGGGAGTTGGTCGCCTTCAACGTCTTGCCGCCTCCATATAAGAAGCGGACCGTACGCGTCTGGGCCCATTTCACCTCCTCAGCTGTCGCTGACAGAGTTAGTGCCGCTCTCAATAACCGACGTCAGCGGTTTTGCGGCGACGGCAAGCTATACGCGACCCACATCAGGACACTCCTATATTCGCTCCCTGTCGACGTTTATGACTCTCTGAGAAGCGACATTCGTGATTTCAGCTTTTATATTTGCCAGAGGGAAAATGGCAGTAGCATTTCGGTTGTTGATCGACGGACGCCTACATCACCCTCACTACCCGTGAAAATCAAACTTGCTTCCCCCCGAATGCAGACGTTGACTAAACTCAAGTCGTCTTTCGAGCGTATCCTTCGCGGAGAGAAGGTGACCGACAACGGAGAAGTTGTCTGGGATGGTTTCTTTAGCAGACGTGGCGGCATATTGTACCTGGAGGACTTGGAGAAGACACATCCGGGCATCATGATCAATAGAGATATCCGCAGGCGAATGCTTGCGTTATTCGGCCCTGCGGATAAACGTAAAATCGTCCGTTCTGCCATCTTGGCTAGGGTTGCAGCATTACGAGCTCAAAGAACGCACTCCATCCCGTTGGTCGGACGACTGATCGGCCTTTTCGTGAGCAAAGATCTGGCCATCCTACAAAAGCAGCTCGGTAGCGAAAACGTCGGCTTCGACCTGATCAATCGTGTTCTCGTCATTCGTGGCGATGAAGAAGCCTACAAAGTTGCCCAACTAGCGATCGCCGGCGCAAGAAATCGGCACAGAGACGAGAGGCAGTTACGACAGATTGAATGTCCTGTTTGTCTCGACGAGGTGACCTCACCCGTCACTTTAGACTGTGGGCATACCTGGTGCAAATCATGTCTGACGAATTATCTCCTCGCTGCTGTCGACAACAAAGTTTTTCCACTGACGTGTCTTGGAGGCGAAGCTTCATGTCCTCATCCTATTCCGATAAGGATCGCTCAGGAGCTTCTTTCCACCAACGAATTCGACTCGCTGATCCATGCGTCGTTCCTGGCTTACATCAATTCGCGACCGTCGGAATTCCACTATTGTCCTACTCCTGACTGCCCTCAAGTCTATCGGAAAGGGCCCCCGAATACAGTCCTGCAATGTCCATCGTGTTTGACTCGAATCTGTCCCAATTGCCACGTCGAATTTCATCAAGGGTCCTTGTGTCGTGACCGAGAAGCTGAAGACGAAAAATTATTCGAAGAGTGGAAGAAGAGCCATGATGTCAAGGATTGTCCTGCGTGCAAGGCTCCCATCGAACGCCTCGCCGGATGCAACCATATGACGTGCATTCGCTGCAAAACTCACATCTGTTGGGCTTGCCTCGCTACCTTCAGCAACGGCGAAGAGGTATACGATCACATGCGCATGATACATGGTGGTATAGGGCTGTGACGTGGGTCTTTGCCGTTCTCAGGTAACATTATTGTCTTTATATGTTTATCGTGCATGAATGTGGTCATAGTATCTAAAGCCATCTGGATGTTGTAATTCCCTTGCTGTTGTAGTATTGTCTGTAAGTTAAGAATCCAGCGCTCGCTTTGTACTTTGTGTATATCAATGCCAGCTTGAGAGCATATACATGAACTTGTAATACAGAATACCCGTTGTACACTCCGATGATGATGCGGTCCGCACGGTACCAGCCTCAGACATAAACATATTGCACAAACTGGCGCAGTCCCCGGTGAGCCTCGAACACTGCGCTCGACGGACGAGAGCCACTCACATCTTGGTATGGTCGCCGTGGCGGTTCGCCATGCAGCGGAAGCGAGTCAGGCAGCTCCGGCACATGCGGGTCGTACCTCAACTTGTTCCCGCGGTGGTCCATGAACCCGTCGACCGGGGAGGGATAGTCGTTCAGCTCCTGCGGATTAGCGAGCTGTCTGGGCGCATACACGATGAACTGGCCATTGCGCTCCATCGTGAGGTGGTCCCCGCGCCGATTCCAGAAGCCTTTGCGGATCTTCCGGGGACTGGACGGCTGTGGCTGCGGCTGCGGGGCAGATGCAGGTACAGACGCAGCTGCGGACGATGCTGTGGACGCGGTGCCCAGAGGATATGCCGTCGGGACCGGCGGTTGGGGGAGGGGGTTGTGACTCGCCCGAGAGACTCTCGCAGGAGAAGATGCGCGCGACCGAGAAGGGGCCGGCGGCGATTGGGAGGACGTGGAAGATTTATACGGGGATGTTGATGAAGGACCCATGGAGGGATACGTCGAACTGCGGGATATCTGGCGCGGAGCGGCATCAGGCGAAGTGTGCGATGAACGCGTGGGTGATCGCGGGTTGACGTAGGGGGTCGCATTTGGGTCTCTATCGCGTTCAGGCGGGCGGGGGGTGCGAGGTTGGGAGACGGCCCGGTCTTCTGGAATGGCTTCGAAAGGGGTCCCGGGGAATGTCGGGAAGGTCTGGCTGCGAGAGACTGCACGTGAACCCGGACTAGATCCACTGTCGGATTGAGAAGGGGCCACCAGAGGGCTGAGCAGGCCTGCTGGCTCTTCAGAAAAGTTGGTCAAGAAAGACAGGGAAGGCGCAGACAAGGAACCAGAAGTGGCCGAGGACGACGTCGCAGGCGCAGAAGACTGGCGTCGTGAGAGGCTATTGGAGCGACTAGGTGTATTTGATGACGGAGGCCCGTAGATGGGCCCATGAGAGTGCGGAGATACAGGCTGTCGTGACGGTGTGCGGCCTGCGTCGTCTGTGCTGGAACGTCGCGTGGGAGTCGAGGACAATGATAGATGAGCATCGACGCTACTTGTACGGCGAGAAGTTGGAGTCGACGGTGTATCATCGCTGCTCATACGGCGTGTCGGCGTACTCGTTGTAGACCCCGAGGAGTAATGTCCAGGTGTCCGGATAATGCTAAGCGAGAATGTGGTGTGAAGGTCTTGCCTCGAGCTGAAGGCCTCGCTCGCTGCTGCTGACGCGGACGCAGAGGAAACCGGTGGTCGGGAAGTAGAAGCCGCCGCGGCTGATGACGCAGATGAGAATGGAGGGTGATTGGGAGATGTACGTGAATCGCGTGCCTGTTGTTGAGAATCGGTGCGCTGGCGGGGCGAGACTTCGCGACTCTGCTGGCGCTGTTGCTGGTGTTGCGACTGTGATTGGGTTTGTTGCTGCCTTTGTAATTGTTGTTGCTGAGAGTATGAGGAGAACGAAGTCATGCCCGCCGGCGCTGAGGTAGGAACAACCCTATCAGGCACGACATTCCGTTCTGGCATAGAAGGTACAGAAGACGGATTAACCTTGGGTATCGAAGGAGGCTTTGGTACGACTGGCATAGAAGGAACAGGAGGTGGATCGGCCTTGGGTATTGAAGGAGGCCTTGGGACAACGGATCGACGACTATCAGACTTATCTTGAGCGGCCGGCCTTCCAACTAGAGAGTCACGATGAGATGAGGAGCTTCCATAAATGCCATTATATTCGCGAGTTCGGGTCGGATGGTACGCGTCCGTGGTGGAAGCCGAACGTTCATGAGAGCGAGTCTGACTCTCTGGTAGTGGGTCGGAAGTTTGGCTGCGCTGGTCCTGTTTATCCGAACCACCTTGGCCGTCATGGAGCTCAGACGAATCACGGCGGTCGGGAGACTTACACAATTCGCGCGGGACCCATACCCAAGGTGTATGCACTACCCCATTGTCTTGCGTCTTCTTCGGCGTATCGTCCCTGGCAAGTGCGACGAGATGATATTCCTCGCAGCGTCGCGATAAGACCGGACACATACCTGATGTGCATGTTCTCCAGTCCCAACCCGTTATCCTGCAGCTTTGTGTTCCAATATTCGGGACCGCCAGGGTTTGGAATGCGCTTGTACGGGTTGTAGTTTGCTGCGGCCTGCGCTTGTGCCTGAGCAATGGCGGCCTGCTGACCCCAGCTAGGATGGGGTGCCCATGCCTGGAATGTAGCTTGAGCACCCGAGACTTGACCGTGAAACATGGGATTATATTGCCACTGTCCGGATGTCCATGCTTGTGCGTTGACACCTGCGGGGATCGGGGGAGGCCCAGGGTAGGGAGCAGGCGCAGCCTGTGGCCAACCTCCCGACCATGCTTGAGACGGATTGCTGCGGCCCATCGAGGCTGAGGACCATTGCTGATACTGCTGAGGAGCCACCCAGGACATAGCCGAGAGGGAACGGCGGCGGTGATGCGCACGAGGCGAGATCGGCGTATGCTAGGATGGAGAGCGACGGTGCTGGCTTCGGTACAGGTACTGGCATAGATATACGGTCTCCCGATAGCTGACGATCATTGAGTTCGGTCACTTGCAGCTCTCGGTGTAGTGAATAGAATAGGAATACCCACCCCACTACAAATACTCACGGGGACGATTTCAGAAAAAGGCAATACGGTAATTGTGAGATCAGCCCCAGATGACAGAGCGTAACGAGGTGCAAGCGATCCGCGGGGACACAATAGCGAAATGCTCGTAGAGAAGTGGGCGAGTGAATGAGAGCCTCGAAGCGGCTCGGCTAGATATAGGCAGAACAAGGGACGCCTGGCTTGAGCAGCCCGAACACGCACTGCAATGGGTGCACAGGCAGGCGTTGGTCCAGATATAGCGCCGAGCTGAGCCCCGGCGGCCAGAGCTGATCCGAAACGGGTCAGAATGGACAGGTGCGGCCCCTCGGATTCAACGGTCGGCCAAATGAAAGGCAGGGCAGAAGAGCGGAGACTGGGCAACGGAGACGACAGCATGTGTGCAGACCAGTCGCCTCAGGCGGGGAGGAGCACTGCACACTCGACGCCGGCCTCGGAGCACCAGCGAGCGCCGAGCAGACCGCTTCAAGGAGGCAGCGCGCGAGGTTCGCAAGGACTTTCACCTTGGACCTCGTCTCCTCCCTCGCGATAATGGCCGCGGTACTCCGTTCGTCCTCAGCTTTGTTCCGCCTTCGCCCATCTCCACGGATATGTTCTTTGACTGCTTCGTCCTCGCTGGACTTGCCTGCATGCCCTCGCTACTCGTCTTCTCGTGCTGCCAGCTCAAAACGAAAAACAGAGAAGGAGGCGACCTCAAAGGAGTCCAAAAGCAAACACAGTCCTGTGGTTTCTACAGAAAACCTCATCCCAGGTTCACAACGCATGGCTGCGGGCGACGAGTATATCAAAGCAGAAGCTAAGATGAAGGGCATTCTGGATGAATTGCGCAAGTCTATCAGCGCGATGGAGATGCGCGCAAGTGGTCGAGTGACCCCCTCAATTCTCTCGCCCGTTCGCGTAAATCTGGGGGAGAGGGGAGACAATCTCAGGCTGGAGGAGATTGCGACCGTCGGTGTAGTAGACGGCCGAACTCTGGTCGTGACCGTATTCGAGGAAGATGTCAGTTTTTGATGCTGCTGGCAAACGTCTGAACCTCAATGTAGACCCAGTAGACATTAAAACACGTCGAAGGCGCGCTGTACAGCGCAAAGATTCCTGGTGTGGTCCCACATAGATCAGACAGTCGGACGATCAAAATCCCAATACCAAAGTACGTTTTATATCACTGATGCGTTGGTATTGCTTACCCTATGGACACCAGAGCCACAGTTGAAGCGCGTCATGCGGTGTACACCGTAGCACAGCGCAAGGCGGAAGAAGCTCGCATGCGGATACGCAAGCTGCACACACAGGCCATTAAGAACTACGGCAAACACGCTCTTGAGCGAGATGAAGTAAGTAAGCGTCTTTGTAATGGGAATACTTGACTTATGGACGTGAATAGCTCCAATCACTGGTGAGCAAATATCTCGGGGAAATAGACAAGTTTTTGGAGGAGGTCAAGAAAAGCACGGGTTCCAAATAGGTGGGCTGCCTATAGCGTGCGTTCTTGTTTTTTTTTTTTTTACCTCGCCCAGTTTCACACCGGAGGCCTGTGCCCGCCTGAGCACTCACGGAAGGCACAATTGTATTACTTTACCGAACTCATTTACGATTGTGTGTAACGATAGGATGTGCATGTGGGTACACTCCACTCACTATACAAGTGCTCCGAGCAGACTACCGACAAGTGTTTTCAGATACCGTCTTCTGAGTACTTCCTTTTCGTCACAATATTGCTTGTGACTGCTTTGAGGCTTTCTTGCGGACAATTCCGCAAAGTAATTGTCATACTGGACCTGTAGGCAATGTTATTCGCCCGCGGCCCGACCTCAACATAGACTTTAGGGAATGTGTATTCTATCTTCCCCGTATGATTGCGCAAATTCAACCTACTCAATCTAGACAGGTACCTTCTGATGTGATCCCATCGTCTGACATAACTCAACAATAAAAGGGCAGCGAAAGTGTATTCATCTTACAAGTCGTGTTGTTAAAGGAGTGTACACAAAGAACATCCTCAAGTGGTAATCCTTCGAACCCCTCAAGTTGGCAAAAATTCTCAATTCCAAGGGTTGGGGTGACAGGAACCTCGATGTCAATATCAGCTCTATGCGTATGGTGAGGCAAGAGGTATCTAATTGAGGACATGATCCCATTCAGTGAGATATCAGTAGAACTTTTTCATGGTGCTGGCCTCGAGCTATATCTGTTGGGCTATGCTTACTGGCGCCAACGCTGCCGGTGCTAGTTTAACAAATATACCGAATTCTTCCACCTTAACACTGATGTACTATCATTATGTGAGTACGTCACCAGTAGAAGGCACCACTGGATGTAATGCACTAATAAGATGTTTACGAACACGATGTCAGCAAATTTTGAGGCACATCGCTGGGCGATTGATTTGACTGCTCATATTTTGCATTCCGGCACATCCCTAAGGTGCGAATAATCACAGAGCAAACGGAAACCTGGAGCGAGAAACAGACGGGCAGAGACTTACTCTGTAGTAAAGTTAGATGCCGCTCGCGGCTCATATTTGCTGATCACCTCGAGATATATCAGTTTATGTACATTCATGACATCCATTCACTGACCGGGCTTTTGTGAACAAAAATTCCGCTGTGACGATGCAAGGGAGCATAGTATGCAGGCATACTCAGTGCCAGAAATGACTGCACATCGCGATAACAGTGAACGGA